TCCCTTTTTTTTTTCGTTTTTTTTTTTTTTTTTTTTTTTTTTTTCCTTGTTTTCCAGGGATTTGAGGTTTGGGCTGGAGCTGCTGCCAGCCACGGTTTTCCTGGAAAATTCCCAAGGAATCTGAGGGGGGGTTTGGGATTCGGTGACTCACCGGGAGATTTTGGGGTTTGGGATTCAGATTTTGGGGTTTGGGATTCCGTGACTCACCGGGAGATTTTGGGGTTGGAATTCAGGAGATTTTGGGGTTGGAATTTGGGAGATTTTGGGGTTGGGATTTGGCAATTCAGGAGATTTTGGGGTTGGGAATTGGGTGATTCACCAGGAGATTTTGGGGCTGGAATTCGGTGATTCACCAGGAGATTTTGGGGTTGGGATTCGGTGATTCACCGGGAGATTTTGGGGCTGGAATTCGGTGATTCACCAGGAGATTTTGGGGCTGGAATTCGGTGATTCACCGGGAGATTTTGGGGTTGGGATTCGGGAGATTTTGGGGTTGGAATTCGGGAGATTTTGGGGTTGGGATTCGGTGATTCACCGGGAGATTTTGGGGTTGGAATTTGGGAGATTTTGGGGCTGGAATTCGGTGATTCACCAGGAGATTTTGGGGCTGGAATTCGGTGATTCACCGGGAGATTTTGGGATTGGAATTCGGGAGATTTTGGGGTTGGGATTTGGTGCTTCACCGGGAGATTTTGGGATTGGAATTCGGGAGATTTTGGGGTTGAATTCGGTGATTCACCAGCAGATTTTGGGTTTGGGATTTGGTGATTCACTGGGAGATTTTGGGATTGGAATTCGGGAGATTTTGGGTTTGGGATTTGGTGATTCACCAGGAGATTTTGGGATTGGAATTTGGTGATTCACTGGGAAATTTTGGGGTTGGAATTCGGGAGATTTTGGGTTTGGGATTTGGTGATTCACTGGCAGATTTTGGGATTGGAATTCGGGAGATTTTGGGTTTGGGATTTGGTGATTCACCAGGAGATTTTGGGATTGGAATTTGGTGATTCACTGGGAAATTTTGGGGTTGGAATTCGGGAGATTTTGGGGTTGGGATTTGGTGATTCACTGGCAGATTTTGGGGTTGGAATTCGGGAGATTTTGGGTTTGGGATTTGGTGATTCACTGGGAGATTTTGGGATTGGAATTCGGGAGATTTTGGGTTTGGGATTTGGTGATTCACCAGGAGATTTTGGGATTGGAATTTGGTGATTCACGGGGAGATTTTGGGGTTGGAATTCGGGAGATTTTGGGGTTGGGATTCGGTGATTCACTGGCAGATTTTGGGGTTGGAATTCGAGAGATTTTGGGGTTGGGAATTCGGTGCCGAGCATCCCACGGACGCTCACATCGCCGTGGGGCCCTCGGAAATCTCCTCCAGCCTCTGCTCGATCATCAGCCGCAGGATGGAATATCTGGAGGAGGCACAGCACGAAAAAGGGAACTCCTCAGACTCCAAGAAATAACGCAAACCCCACAAATGAGGATTTTTCTGGGGGGACCCAAGCAGCCCCCGCAGGAATGTCCTTCCCTCCCGGCGTCCCCCCAGCCCCACGCACTTGTGCTTCAGCTTCTTCACTTCCCGATCCTCCTCCTCCTCCAGCTTCTGGATGAAGCTCCTGAGGATGGGCATCTCAAATTTGATGTACTGGGCGACCTGGGTGGGAGAGGAGCAGCAGGAAATGGTGAAGAGGGTGATGAGTTGACCCACCCCCTCATCCTCTCCTTAGATTTAACCAAAAATCCCAAAATCCTGCGGCAAACCCTAAAAAAATTATGTTTGTGGCCATCAGCCGCTGCAAACAAGCGAGAGCTGGATAATCATTGGAAAAAAGATCCTGCTAAGGTTTATTTATTTTAATTCAGCTCTGTCTGAGCGTCCCCTGAGCTGCCTAAGCCCAAATTCACCCCAAAATTGTTGGGATTTCAGGGCCTGGGGAGCTGCAGATGACACAAGAGAGCCTGGAAAAACAATTCCACCAAAAGCTGAAACCGCTGCTCCGTGCTCAGATTTGGGGATGGCACAACAGGGCTGGGAGAAAGGAATTTCCCGCAGGATCAGGATTTTCATGGAGGAGAGCAGCTCCAACGAGTTCATTTGGGATAAATCCTTCGCTGTGAGGGCGGGGAGGGGCTGGGATGGAATTCCCAAAAAAGCTCCTGGATCCAGGCCAGGTTGGATGGGGCTTGGAGCCACCCAGGACAGCGGGAAGTGTCCCTGCCTCGGCTCTGGGTGAGGTTTGAGGTCCTTCCCAACCCGAACCGCTCCGTGATCCTGCGATCCCCGGGTTTTTCCCAGCCTGAGGGTGACACTCACGTCGTAGGTGACCTCTTCCACCTGGTCCTTCTCCATGAGGAACACCTTGGACACCTGCTCGCAGGGGCCCTGCAGGATGCGGGCGAGCAGGGGGAAATCGCTGCCGCGCAGCTTCTGCTTCTCTGCAACGCCAGAGCCGCGGGGTCAGCGCCGCGGGAAAGGGGGGTCTGGGGCACTCAAAATTTGGGGTGTGGGACACTCAAATTTGGGGTTTGGGGCACTTCAACCCAGGGGTCTGGGGCACTTAAACACAGGGGTGTGGGGCACTCAAAATTTGGGGTGTGGGGCACTCAAAATTTGGGGTGTGGGACACTCAAAATTTGGGGTTTGGGGCACTCAAAATTTGGGGTGTGGGACACTCAAAATTTGGGGTCTGGGACACTCAAAATTTGGGGTTTGGGACACTTAAACACAGGGGTGTGGGACACTCAAAATTTGGGGTTTGGGACACTCAAAATTTGGGGTTTGGGGCACTCAAAATTTGGGGTCTGGGACACTCAAAATTTGGGGTCTGGGACACTCAAAATTTGGGGTCTGGGACACTCAAAATTTGGGGTTTGGGGCATTCAAAATTTGGGGTTTGGGGCACTCAAAATTTGGGGTTTGGGGCACTCAAAATTTGGGGTTTGGGGCACTCAAAATTTGGGGTTTGGGGCACTCAAAATTTGGGGTGTGGGACACTCAAAATTTGGGGTCTGGGACACTCAAAATTTGGGGTTTGGGACACTTAAACACAGGGGTGTGGGACACTCAAAATTTGGGGTTTGGGACACTCAAAATTTGGGGTTTGGGACACTCAAAATTTGGGGTCTGGGACACTCAAAATTTGGGGTCTGGGACACTCAAAATTTGGGGTTTGGGGCACTCAAAATTTGGGGTCTAGAGCACTCACACCCAGGAATCTGGGGCTCTCATGTCTGGGATAATTTGGGGCTCTCATGCCCTGGGTGATTTGGGCTCTCACCTCCACTCGTGTGCACCATGTACAGAGCAAACTCCTCTGCAGAGTTCTCGATCTGGGGGAGACACAAAAAATAAAAATAAAAATAATAAAAAAAAAAAAAAAAAAAAAAAAAAAAAAAAAACCAAAAAAAAATCTAAAAAAATCTAAATAAATCTAAATAA